ATTTTGGGCTCAAATTTAGAAAGGTAGCAGTTTGTAAAGACATTCTAGCATAATTGCCAATTTAATATGTATAGAAAAACTATTATAGAAATTCAAGAATACAGAATTATCACAATTTATGGGATATCAATTCACAAATAAACATTTCACAACAATGTTATAATCAATTGCAAAAATACCAATTTTTAAGTAATAAGGCAGTCATTTACACATGAAATTTACAATGTCTAAATATTCAAAAATAGTAGAAAGAAATCTTACAATTTTACTAACAGCAGAAATATCATATTTATTTTTAATAATTTTACAGCATTTAAAATTTCTAATATAGTTAAAATATCACAATTCTATTAAACATATTATTTTTCAAAATAATGAGGTCACTTGCGCATAAAATTTATCGTGCCTAAAATTCATGATAATAAGCAGAAATAATTATTTCATTTCATTTTTAAAAATAAAATTATTTTTATTTCATTACACTAAACTTATAAAATAAAGATCTTGGACGGAAATATCACTATTTATTAAAAACAGACTATGTTTTAGGAAGACGATGTCACTTACCTAAAATATTTGAGAGGGAGCTTCCGATAAAAATTCGCCTAGAGAGAGAAAGAGAAACATGTCGACAGGGTTTTCGTTTGAGAAAGAAAAAGAAAAAAAAAACTGATGGAGTTTCAGCTTTAAGAGAGAGAGAGAGTGAGAAACCCGTTGAGGGGGGTTTTCGTTTGAGAGAAAAAAAGAAAAAAACCTGATGGTGTTTGAGCTTTAAGAGAGAGAGAGAGAGTGAGAAACCCGTTGATAGGGTTTTTGTATTAGAAATGCAGAGAATAGAAAAGGAGAAGGGTGTAGAAAAAGGGTAGCAGTAGAAAGTACAACGAGATGCCAAATTTAAGTTCCCCCGAACCCGCTTGGGAAGAGGCGAGAAGACATGACCTACTTTAGGAAACACGACGAGAGAGAGAGGGGCAGTTTCTTCTTTTGACAAAGTGCAAGGGAAATGGCTTTCCCTTTTGATTATCTAAAAGAGGTGAGAAATAGTACAGGTTCATTGGAATGATGAAGAGAGGGAGAGGGAGAGAGAGAGACCAATATAAGGAAAACACCTCAGATGCAAGGTGTTGTAATAAGAGGTGTTAACATTAAGGTTTAAGATGGTGGACTTAAGGTCTGCCCAAGTAAAATTGAATCCTCAAATATATTAACAATAATATCTTTTATTTATTGTTAATATAAAAGCAACAATATCCTAACGGTATATTAGTATTATTATTATTATTATTATCATTACTAATATATACTTATTATTTTATTTATTTATTTATTTATATTTATTTATTTTTGTTAATACTATTAATATTGTTATTATATATATATATATATATATATATTTTTGAAAGCTTAGGATTGTTATAGAGATCCTTCACCAAAGCCAAGCTTCTTTAGAATCAGTAATTTATTACCCTGCGAAACCCCAAAACAGAAGGCTTCGCTTTTCGCAATATTAAGTTTTTGACCAGTAGCTGCCTCAAAAATGTAGAGAAACGATTTAATAGCAACAATAATAATAATAGAAGCATCACAAAAGATAAGAATATTGTCCGCATAAAATAGATGCGACACTACACGATGACAACCTGAAGGAAACTTGCCCATAATAAAATATGCAATGAAGGAGTTGAATAACTCATTTGATGAGTCAAGATCTGAGGCAACAAATAAAAATATTCATTTTTCTCATCAAAGTATATAGAGCTGAGGCTCTAAATAATCAAAGTAGAGCCTGCCTAAAAAATTTCACTAGAAAATGTTGTTTTGATGTTCAAATAGCTTCAAATTGATCATCTCCGCATCAAGATGCATGGACATGAGAAAAAAATGGATTTCATATTCTAGAAATAGTATATTTTGTAATGCATTTTTGGACCGTCAATTTTTTAGATTTTCAAGTTTTCAAAGATCTACTCGATCTACACTATTTTTGAAGCTTTAAACTTTATAAATAAAGATAAAAGTATATTTTAAGGCTATTACAAAGAATTCTAATATTAAAACCACATTTCTTGATACTATTTAAAGGTAGGCTCCAATTTGATTGTTTTGAGCCTAGGCTCTATACAAACCATACCCAAATATGAATCCGCTATTGTGTTATAAAATAAAAGAAAAATTATAAATAAGCCCAACAAAACTCTTTCTTTGCAACTTACCCCAACCAAACTTTTCTCTCATGTTTTTTCCCAAAATATAATTTTTAGCAAATACCCCTAAGTACAAAAAGCGCACAATTTTTTTTACCCAAAATACCCCTTTTCGTAAATTTTTTTTTATTTTGACCGGACATTCACATGGGCATACGTACAGTACCACAAGTCACATGGGCTGCCGGATCGCTGTGAACCCATTGCTGGAACCCATTAAACTAAAAAACATGCCGGATCATGTTCATTCTCCGTCGGACCGCATTGTGTCCAGGAAAAATATGTTGGACCGCTTGTTAAATTTGCCAGACCGCACTTTTGTCCAGAAAAAAAAGTATAGGAGCGCGTGTCTGTTCTATCCACCGTACTTTTATCTACAAACAAAGTGCCAGATCGTTTATTCAATTTACCGGACCGCAATATTGAAGAATGAAAGTGCCAGACGACATGTCTGTTCTGCCGGATCGCACTTTTGACCATAACGAAAAGTATTGGACTGCTTATTTTGACTATCGGGCCGCAGTTTTGATCAGAACGAAAAGTGCTGGACCACTTGTTTTGACCGTTGGACTGCTTCATCTAATGAGGGAAAGAGGTGAGAGAAACATTGGGTAAAAATTTAATTTTGACCAGACATTCACGTGGGCATACGTAAGTACCAAAAGTCACATGGGCTGCCGGATCGCCGTGAACCCATTGCTGGAACCCATTAAACTAAAAAACATGCCGGATCATGTTCATTCTCCGTCGGACCGCATTGTGTCTAGGAAAAATATGCTGGACCGCTTGTTAAATTTGCCGGACCGCACTTTAGTCCAGAAAAAAAAGTACCGGAACGCATGTCTGTTCTATCCACCGTACTTTTATCTATAAACAACAGTGCCAGATCATTTATTCAATTTGCCGGAACGCAATATTGAAGAATGAAAGTGCCAGACGGCATGTTTGTTCTGTCGGATTGCAGTTTTGACCATAACTAGACTGCTTATTTTGACTGTCGGGCCGCAGTTTCGATCAGAACGAAAGGTGCTGGACCACTTGTTTTGACGGTAAGACTACTTGACCGAATGAGGGAAAGAGGTGAGAGAAACATGGGTAAAAGTGTCAAGGTAGTTTAGTCTTTTTTGTTTTTTTTGGAGGTATTTGCTACAAGAAGTATGTTGTGGCCTAAAAAATGAGAGAAATAGTTCAGTTGAGGTAAGTTGCACAAGAAGTGCATCGTTGGGGTTTTTGTCATTTTCCCTAAAATAAAAATATTACAACCCCAATTTACGGCGGCATAAATACCATGATCATCACATACTTTTTCTTTTTCCTTACAGGAATCGTACAATGATTCCTCTCTCTCTCTCTGTCTCCCTCTTTTCCCTTGCACAATCCAAAGTGCATAATCCAGAGCAAACCCCATTAATGTAATCTTCTCACTGTACCTATTAGTGTAATAATCTCTCCCTTCCCTGTTTTCTGTCATCTCTGTATTTTTGGAGTGAGCCTCTGACTCCAGCGCCATGTTAAGTATGAAAGGTCTTCTCCTTAGTCCTCGCTCAAGCCCCTGCAAAACCCCAAACTCTTTACTCCATCTTCATCGTCTCTCTACCCTTCTTAGAAGAACAAATTTTCTCTCTCCTCCACCCCCACTCACTGCACGTGGCTGCCGTAACCCATGTCCCACTTCCTCCATTTTCAAATCTTTATCCACCCATGAGTCAACTTTGAAAAACTGGGCGGGAAATTGTGGGTCTCTGAAAAAAAGCAATGAAGCCCCTGTAAATTGTTTGGGAGAGGGTGGATCTGTGAGCGTGGGGGGCTTTGAATCACATATGGACGTGGCCTCTGCAACTTCTTTCTATGGGGAGATTCATGTCATTGTTGGCCCCATGTTTGCGGGGAAAACCACTGCTCTTCTACGGCGTGTCCGGGCTGAAACCGAAATGGGCAGGTTCATGTTCTCTCTCGATCCTATTTTCTCTTGTTCTCTCTACATTGAAGGCTCATTTCTGAGGTCTTTGGTGTGGGTTTTAGTCTCTATCTCTCTCTTCTCAATGGGGGTCGATTTCTGAAGTTTTGGGTGCGGGCATTCTCTCTTTTTCCTCATCTCTTTCTATCCCTTCTCAGTTGCTATCCATTATTTGAAGCTTTGAGTTTGGGGTCCCTCTCGTGGCCCCCTATTTTTGAAGTTCCGGTTTTGGTTTTCTTGCATTGTCAAATACTTATGTATTCTCTATTTTCTTTTTCCTTCTCTTATTACATTGTTGTTTGTTTTTGTTTTATGTTGGGATTTGGGGCATCACAGTTTTTTGGTTATTAGGTGTTGTTTTTTTTCTTTTCAGTCTTTGTAGATTGCAGGGTGTTCACATACTTGACAAAGGATTTCAGTGTATTGCTTGTTATTTAATTAGAATAAGCTGGCAGTGTGGAATTGCAAATTTGATTGATGACATTATTTCTATTTGTGGGTTGATGATATAAATTTGTGCCTTTTTTACATTTTATGTCGATGCAGAAGTGTGGCGGTCATAAAATCTGACAAAGATAACCGATACGGATTGAATTCTATAGTTACCCATGATGGTGAGAAAATGTCTTGCTGGGCTATGGCTGATCTCTTAACTTTCAAAACAAAGTTGGGGTTTGATGCGTACAGTAAGGTAAGAAAATTTGAAATGTTTAAATGTTAACTTGTTGGGAACTTTATACCTTTTGTTCCTAGGCTTCTTAGGTCAAAGACGCATTATAGTTGTGATTTCCTGCAGATTAAGAAGTTTGATGATAGGATCATGCCTAATTGTCTATTTCTTTCTTTATCATGATACTTGTAGTCTTGTACAGTTGTGCGATCTTTCTTAGTCATGAATCTTTTGCTTTGAACCAATGTAGATGCACAAATATGTGTATATTCGCTGATTGCCCATAAGGTTAATGTGGGGCTAATACCTGTCACTGTGATGTTGAATGAATTTTCTTCCAGCTAAGGAACTAGAGCAAGATTCCCTTAATTAATGACTTTCTAATGAATGTGATAAAGTGCTGAATTATAAGTTATGTTGATAACTAGGTGCCTTCATGTGCATTATATAGATCATTAAGAGCCTAATTCAGAGAGGTTGAGAGATTTTTGTGCCTTTTATTGATAAATTTCTCTATGGTAGATGAACCAAGAATTCATCAGCTTAGAAAAGCTATAGCATTAGAAAGTAAAGTAGATATTGTTATCAGCTAGGAGCAATGCTCCGGCGGATAAAGTTATTATATGCTTTCTGTGGGAGTATGTGGTGTTGGTTAGTTTTAGCTAGAGAGAAAATAAAGATCTCCAAGCCAAAGTTGCAGGTTTTCTAGGTTGCTGACAAAACATAGTTCCAATGCAACGTCACTTTTGTAACAGTTTAATAGCGGCTTGTTCTTCTTCTATAGAGGAAATTTGTTTCTAAACTCTTTAATATGGAGTTTTTTGTTTTAACTTTTTTGATTAATCCTGAGGGAAGCTTTTCCATATACATCATCAATAACTAGATCTTCATTGGGCCCTTCTTTAATGTTTGTTCTTTTATATTTATGCCAAAGTAAGTAATATTTATGTCCAGAAAAATACTTTTCTTATTCTTTTGATGAATCGGATAAGAAACCAATTTACATAAAGTTGCTTCTAGTAACCAAGAGACAAAAGTCATAGAGTGATGAAAAGGAAAGGGAAGATAAAGGGACGAGAAAAGAAATAACACCAGACATCGTAAATTCCCATGATGCTTGAAAAGGTTGATCCTCTCACTTATTGGACAAACCAACCCTAGAATTCCTTGGATATCATCCTACAAATGCCATAAAAATAAATCACTCCATTTTGCACTGAGTTCTTAGTTTTGAAGTAAAAAGTAACTCCTTGAGACTGAATACCACGTGATTAGAAAATCCTTTATACGTTTCCTGAGCAAAACTCTTTGAAGGGACTGTTGGCACAAGTGACGACGGGAGGTCATAGATACATTTGTAGGATTTAGGATGTTAGAAGTGGAAGAAGCTTTGAAAAGGATGAAGATAGGAAAGGTTTTAGGACCAAATGGTATCCCGATAGAGGTTTGGAAGTGCATAGGGGAAATTGGCATTGACTAGCTGACAAAGCTATTCAACAAGGTGTTGTGAACAATGAAAATGCCCTATGAATGGAGAAAAGGTATTGTGGTACCTATTTATAAGAACAAAAGAGACATACAGAATTGTACAAACTATCGAGGGATCAAGCTTATGAGCCATACTATGAAACTTTGGGAAAGAGTCATTGCGCAACGACTAAGGCATGAAACGAGTGTATCTGAAAATCAATTTGGTTTTATGCCAGAAAGGTCAACAACTGAGGCTATTTTCTTACTTAGGGTGAAGGGAAAACCCCTCCACATGGTCTTTATTGATTTAGAGAAAGCTTATGATAGAGTACCTCGAGATTTGATTTGACGGGTGTTGGAAAAGAAAGGCATCTCTAGACACTATATCGACTTGGTGAGAGATATGTACGATGAAGCAGTTACTAGTGTACGACAAGTAGTGGAGAGACGAGTGAGTTTTCAGTGACAATAGGTCTACACCAAGGGTCAGCATTAAGCCTGTATCTCTTTGTTTTAGTTATGGACGACTTAACTAGGCACCTACATGATGAGGTACCGTGGTGCATATTGTTCGCAGATGACATAGTTTTGATTGATGATACCCGAAACGACGTCAACTCAAATTTAGAACTTTGGAGGGATGCTTTAGAATCCAAAAGGTTTTAAAATTAGTCGGAGTAAGGCATAGTATATGGAGTGCAAATTTAGTAATAATAGGAGTAGAGACGAGGAAGTAGTTAAGATTGACAGCCAGGTAGTACAAAAAAGATCGCACTTTTAATATCTGGGATCGATAATCTAGGTAAATAGAGAGATCGATGAAGAAGTCACGTATAGAATTAGAGTTGGGTGGGCGAAGCTGAGATGTGCAACTGGAATTTTATGTGATCACTGCATACCAATGAGGTTGAAGGGCAAGTTCTATTGGACAACGGTAAGATTAGCTTTGCTCTATGGAGCGGATTGTTGGGCGGACAAAAAACAATATACCCATAAAATGAGTGTAGCGGAGATGAGGATGGTGAGATGGATGAGTTGCAAGAGAAGGGATAGAATTTACAATGAATCTATTCAAGAGAATTTAGGCGTGGCACCAATAGGCGAGAAAATGAGAGAGAGTAGACTTAGGTGGGCTGGTCATGTGTGGCACCGACCAAGTACAATACCTATTAGGAGGTGCGAATTAGTTCAAGTGGAAGGACTGAAAAGGGAAAGGGGTAGGCCCAAAAGGACGCGGTTGGAAGTAGTCCGAAAAGATATGGGAATTTATGGCTTCACTGAAAATATGACCTTTAATAGAGCAGAATGGAGAACCATGATTCATGTAGCTGACTCCAATTAATTGGGAAAAGGCTAAATGATGATGATCATAGTTATAATATTCAACTTTGATAGGAATATACTAACACCTATTTAGAGTAAGAACTCAAGAAATCCTAGTTCTAATTAAATTGGAAATCCTAATTTAAAAAACTCATAATGATTATTTTACCCCTAGCAAAATAAATACTACCATAAGGACATTAACTGCCAAACGACCCTAAAAGTTTTTTAAAATAAAATTATTTTAAAACAATCCCTAAAATTCCCTAAAAGATAGTGCTAAAAAATTTAATTAGATCATTATCATATCATCATTAGAGCTTTTATCCCAACCATTTGGGGTTAGCTGTATTAATCATGCTTTACTATTCCGCTCTATAAAGGGCATACCCCTAGTTAGACCATAGGTCGCTATGTCTCTTCTCACTACTTCCATCCATGTCCTTTTGGGCTTTTCCCTATCTTTTTAGAGCCTTCCACTTTAACCAAATCCCCCCTCCTAACCTGTGCTATTCTAGATCGACACTGCATATGTACAGACCACCTTAGTCTAGATCGACACTGCATATGTACAGACCACCTTAGTTTACTTTCCCTCATCTTATCGCCTATTGGAGCCACTCTTAAGTTCCCTCTGATGTATTCATTCCGAATTCTATCTTTTCTTGTCTTGCCACTCATCTATTTTAACATCCTCATCTTAGCTACACTCATTCTTTGAATATGTTGTACCTAGTTGCCCAACATTCCATCCCATGAAGCATGGTTGGTCTAAAACTTAATTAGATAAAATAAAAAATAAGAGGTATCCAATTCTACATGGGACTCCCTTGGTTAGAGAAAACTCAACCTTGAGATTTGAAGTAGGCTACATGAATTCTACCAACTAATGCAGTAGAAAATTTACTCGAAAAAAAATCAAAGAATAAAAAATTGATTGAAAATAATGGTGTAGGCCTACAAGCCAAGCATCTTAGCTCTCTGGCATAACCATGAGTCTCAAAAGAAACGATTTTTAATTTTGAAAGAAAACCTAATAAAACACCAATTTATAATAAAAGACCTTACTTAGAACCATCTTCTAAGAGACATCCGATACTTTCAGTACAGAAAAAAGAACTATTTTGTTTTTTAAAAAGACCTTACTTAGAACCCCAAAAAATCCTTATTCGAATTGAATTACAAGTCCTAGTTAAATTAAAAATTGTGATGACACCTTTTCCATTGATAAAATAAATAATTCCATTAGGACATGAACTATTTTTCTAAGCAATGCCTAAAATCATAAAAAGGTGCAAAAGCCCTAAAATCCTTAAAAACATAAAAATTTCTAAAAGTAAACCCTAAAAATCATAAAAATATATCCCTAAAATTTAATAGGAAAAAATTCAAGAATAAGAGGCATCCTATCCTGCGTTCCCCTCCACCCCCTCCCCGAAAAGAAAAGAAAAACAGATGGCCAGAGGTCCCATACTCCAAAGAATGCATCTTCTCTCAAATAGCATCAGATTGATTAGTAAGCCCAAGGAAGCCAAATAATTTAAGTAAGAATTTTATTTTCATGTATGTAGAGGCAATGTAAGTTGAAGGAGTTCATAGTTCTCTCCATAACTGAACATAGGAAACATACATTTGGGGTTTGCACTCTATCTAGGTAACCAAGTTACTAATTTTCTCTAGGGTTAGGGTCTATGACCAACAAATGATGTGATCTCAAAGTGAGGTCTGAGTATATTGGGTATGGTGTCCAAGAGCCAAAAATGGCCTTAAATTTCTTTGGTGTGTGCCTGCATTTGTGTGGTGTTTTTGTGGAGGTGAAAGGTGTATCCATTGAATGTACTTGTTTTAGTATGTTTAATAAACATAGTTTGTTCTTGCTTACAAGTACAAGTTATAATCAGTGATAAACACTAATATATCCCAGAGATGACATAACAGTTTGGTGTTGTCCTTATTTGAATAGAAATACTAAAGCAAATGATATTCTTTTTGGTGCTTTTATATGATGTATATCCAATAATAGAATAACAGTTTGGGATGAACCCTTATAACAACTCCAACAAGAGTTTAGAGTTATGGGATTGAAAGTTTGCTCACAATAGAGCAAGAGGAAGAAATTTTGAACATTATGAGTATGTCATGTTGGTGTCTACTCCAAGAACTCTCGTTCACCATACTCGGTTAACCTAAAGAGGGACTATTGACCTTAAGTCCAGGTAGCTTTGCCT